GATTTTTGCTCTACCCGTTTAAAAGTCGCGCGCGAAACCGATCTCGTCAGCAGAGAGGCGCGACGCATCGTAACGGTCGTTCAAATATCAAACGGTCGTTTAGCATTCAAAATGATTATAGATATCACATTAAACGCGCGCGCGCGCGCGCGTGAAAGAGAGGGGGGAAGGGAGAAGAGAGATTGTTTGTAGCAAGAGACACGGATGATAGTGTAAGCTTACAACCGTGAATCATTCACCGTCTTTGTTGTTTGTCAATGTTAAAAACAAAGATGAAATGATTCACTGTGTTATACTGTGTCATCTGTGTCATCTCTTGCTAGAAAAAAAAAACACTCACAATATGTATAAGAACGTCGAGAGCAGAGCAGCTACTCTCGAGTGAGGATTACGTTTCTCGTTGAACGGTGTCGAATCGGCGAGCGCATCGGAAGGGAAAGATTACATACCTATCTGTCGCGGTAGAAAGACGCGACGGGGGGGAGCGCAAGGTGCCCCGATATACAATTATCAATTATTATTATTATAGCGTACACCGCGCGTAACAACACGCGTATCGCGCGCGTTTGTTATCCCTCCCACAGGAGGTCTATCTTGTGGGAACGTCTTTACGCGTGTTCGTGCGCGCACTCTTTTTCCAGATGGACGATACGCGCCTGCTGCCTTTACCAGGTCTCGTTGCGTCTACACTACAACACTCCCTACGCAACTCTCACGACAATGCGTTAGGGGAGTACACGCGCTTATAAATGCAGCATACGCATTCGAGTTGTCCTTATTAAGGTATGATGCGGTCTCTTGCAACGTGGTCCGTTTCCTCCTGACGAGCGCTACTTATAACGCTTTTAATTAAGCGCGGCGGCGTATCCGCAGAGAGGAAACAGACGGTGCATAACGCACGACTGTCAACGGGTTGTGAATAGAATTTCTACATTAATTCCATATCACTCGGAAGCCGTGTATGGAGCGGTATGCGATAGCAAATTAAATGTAATATTCGACAAGCAAGTTTCACGATGCGCGTTTTGCCGTTGGAAAGACTCCTTCCCTGGGAAGCGAGGCGGTTAGGAAAACGCGGCTCGGAGAATTAGCTTATATACACCTGGCTGGTAATTAGTTGTATCAATTAAACGTCTCGCCTCGGCGATACTGCAGGTTCCCGGCCGTCGTCAGTTGAACCGTCGCAGGCAAAATTTCTGTCTCTCATCGCTCCGCCAGTCTGGCGTTTTACAAGGTGGGAAAGGAAACGGGAATATAAACCGCGAGCCCGCCGGATAATCATATTCCACGACATTTCGTGTCCGCCACGTATAGTCGAATGAATGCGTATCGCATTAGCGACTAGGCGGTTCGCGCAGCCTCTATCTGTAATTCAATAGCTCGAACACGATGCGAAGTGCTCTACCTATCCTCCCTCCTGCCCCTTCCTCGCCACCCCTCTCCCGTCCGTAAATTATCAATTTATCTGGGCACGCGCTTGCACATTGATAGCGGCGAACAAGCGCGCGAGGATCCTCTCTTTTGCGTACGCTTTAATAACTCACGTTATTGTCACGGTTTCATACGCGCGACAGCGTATTAAATATTCCCTGGGAAACGTCGATGTACAACGTCGATGAAACGAAATGCGCGGCTAAACAGAACGAGTCATCGCGTCATGGTTATTTTCATAATATGACATTAAGCGAATAGTGGGTACCTCAAAAATCGGATAATCGTTTTGTTGCGTGTAGAATCTTCTGATATTTCAAATATTGATAATTTTTTTGTTTTATTAACAATACATATTGTTAAAAAAATCGTCTGAGATATTCGTAATCCCCGGATTAAAATAAGAAAACAAGAACTAAATTTGAAAAGGGAAAAACGGACGCTTTAGCTTCAAATAAATATCGATTTAATGAAATACTGCATTAAGTATTTGAGAGGACATACAATATTAAAATTGAAACAATGAGATGAACGGTAAATTTCTTTGACATTTTCAATTAAAAAAATATTCAATTTCCTCGATCACAAAATTGATCGAGAAAATGTCATTCGAAGGAAATGATGCGTCAGGCGCATTAATTTTGCGCATTAAAAAGCTATATGTAGCGGGAATAGGTATCCGCAGACACACAAATTAATAATCCCATATTCGACGGGAATAGAATCCGAGTTGAAAAAAAATATCCTTCCGTGTGCCTTCATTTTTCTACAATAATTAGAGAAACGAGGAAGAACATGGGAAGAGAGTTTACACGTTTCGCCGGTTTCAACTCTTTCGGTTGATCTACACCCGGCTACTTGTTGAACCAAGGGGGAAAATACTTGACCGACGAGAGAGGCGAGAGAGCTCGCGACGTATGGCAATGCCAGTCGACGTTCGATCGTAATAGGCGGAAACAACGTCGCGAAACAAAAGGGTTAATCCGAGAAACGATATCTCTCTCGTTCTGTGCGTTATACGCCGTGCGAATTGCATCCCTCGCGCTTCGCGATACGATATCCGTCAGACGCGATGGAAAAATTCGCGCGAGAACGCCCTCGCGATATCGCCGGTGCAATATCAATTCCACAATGATTGACATCTGATGGCTTTTTCAGAAGGGGAGAGAAAGCGAGAGAGGAAGGGTAGGAGGGACGTGACTCGCCCGTGACTTGCGGGAGTGAGGGTGAACCACCCCTAGGTAACGTGATTCACGCTGGATTTTCTACGGCGGATCGCGCCGAAAACCGGGAAATAAACGACGACGCGAAACGCGGATAGATCGGCCTGGAAAGTCGACGGGCGAAAAAAAGAAACGCGGCCTAAATGCGCGGGAAAACGCGGGTGGATACGCCCTTTTTCGGTTTCCGCATTTTGCCTGATTCTCTTTCTCTCTCTCTCTCTCGTTCCCGCCGCGAAGGTACAAATAAACAAGAATGTACGTGTTAAGAAGTTACTGTGTTACGCTACAACTTTTTTTTGTACCTCCCATTATTTCATTTGAAAGAGAGAAAATGTGGGTTTTTCCGTGGCACTTACACAGTTACTCGCTCTATCTACTCTATCTCGTTTTAAACGCGAAAAATATAAAAAAATGGGATGAACAGATCTCTCTATTCTCGCCAGTTCTTTACGTTTCCAACACACTTTCGCCACTATCTGCCGGTCTCACCTCAAAAGGCTCGAAACCGCCCGCTGTTTTGCATCGTTCAGATACAAGAGACGTGAGAAATGCGCCAAACCGCGACTATTGATATAAAGAAAAATATATAGACGTAGAATCAGAGAGGAAGGAAAGCACTTTCACGCCGGCAAAAATAAATTTTTTTCTCGCTAGGATCGGAGAGGCCAGGTTTTTCTCAGGCTACGCCGCGTTACACTTTCCGCGTTTAAACAAGGAGTCGCGGGGGGAAAAAGGGCAGGAGGAATTGCTTGAAAAAAAAAGAACAAGTGTACGGGGAGTGCGATTCCTCGTTTCTACCTTCTTTCCGACAACGACGTGTGGGAGGAGGAGAAGGAGGCGGCGATCAAAGAGTGGCGAGAGTGAGAGGAAAAGAAAAGAGTTAAGAGCGGGCGCGCGTACCTGTCATCGTGCAGCCGCTTGAGGTCGGTCATCTCGCGCTCGAACTTGAATTTCGACACCTCGCAGAGCAGGGCGTCCCGCTCGCCGACGACATCGGCGAGCTCGCGTTGCAGTCGCTCGATCTCGGCGTACTGGCGGCTGATGAGCTGGTTCTTCTCCTCGAGGATGCTCTCGACGTCCGGCGGCTCCAGGAGGGCGGCCGTCGCCGGCGCGGTCTCGCCGCCGCCGACACTGCCGCCGAGTACCGCGCTCATGCCGTTTGTTTACCTTCGTTTCACACGTTCACCCCCGTCGCGCCCGCGGCGCACGAACGTCGCGGCGAACGCTGCTGCTTCACCCTCACGTCGGGGCGGCGTGCGACGTCGTCGCCGTCGCCGCCGCGGCTGCCGCTACCCGCTGCCGCCGTCGCCGTCGGCCGTCGCCCTCGTCACCGTCGACACGATCACGCGAGAGACGCGCACCCGATTCACGACGGGCGGCCACGAGCCCGCGTTACTGTCAGCATTCCTCGCCGCCGAACGACACGATCAACGAACGTCACTACAGCGCGCGAGACGAGGCGAGGCACGCACGATGCGACAGCCCCTCATCGCACACTCGCCATATTGCGAGCGGAGCCGCGGGCGCGTTCCTCGCGGTCGGACTGCGCCAGTTCCAATTCCGCCGGTCCGCGGTACGCGGCGCGTCTGCGCGTGCGCGCGCCGCCGACCGCGACACACCTGGCGCCATCGCGCCGCTCAGCGCTGTACCACTTGTCGCTCGGTTCGGTAAGCGTGCTCAGTCAGTAACTCTATTTGGTATTCACGAGGCATCACTCATCACCTGCAGTACGGTATACATATATATTATGAAGTGATTAGAATGGATTTCCAGGGAAAACGAAATAATTCCGATCGGAATCTATTCCGAACAGTTCCATAATACAGAGAGGACACGTTCAATTATAAATGTATCAATTATATCGTTTGATCGATAATCTGCGATTAGATATTATAGAGGTGAAGACAAAAGAAACTTTTCAAGGAAGAAACCCGTACTTTGTACGGAATTAGACATTGTTATCAGATTCTTCTTTGTTGTTACATATTGAACTGGACTAAACTTTTATTTTGCAGAGAGCAAATCTATATTGCTCTAATTTCTTGATATACATTAAACATAGATTCCTTACAACATGGATTTTAAAGTAAACTTATATTATATGTATTTTCACATAAATTATTATGAACAACAAATATTCTTTCGAAAGATAATATATAAATATATTAGAAAGGAGTATTTATAAACTTATATACGAGCACATGCGCGCAAATTTGAATTTAGCGCGAGCAGTCGCCACGTGTTGGATTTCAATTCGCTCGCTAACCTACGGGCAGGCGGCTGTTAACCGATCCCCCTCTCCGACGTGAGAGGGCAATCATGGCCAGGATAACCTTAAAAGTACGGGAATGCACGGGAACGTGACCGTGATAGGGCAACCGCGTGATAATCGCGTTTCGACGGTTCGTCCGATTGACAATTCGAACGTGCCGAGACGTGCGTGCCGCGTGAGCCGAGTCTCTTCGCCTCCCGTGTACGCCGGGGTGGAGCATGCGAGTATTTACGGGTATCTCTCAGCTGAAACCGCGACTTTCGATTGAAAAATGCTCGCGGACACTCGGGCTGCACTCGCGTCGCAGATTTTCCCCGTGTCATCGGAATCCCGGGAGCGTATCTCCCGTCGTCGCGGAAACGCGCGGACCGTGCAGTAATCCCGACGACGGCACGTCGTAGCGTCTCGTCCCCGACGTGGTGGGAATTTAAATGCCGCATATGTTTTTCAGCGACTCCGATGGCACATGCCAGTGTTGTTGATAGGTTATACATGCTTTTGCAGTGTCAGGAGAGGGAATCGCGTGTTCGCGAGAGAGAATTGATCGCGCGCTCGCTACTCTTGCGTTGAGACCTTTCAAGAAATACAAAATTCACAAAATTTAATATATTTATTTAAAAAAAAATTTTTTTTATTTTTCTTCGCGCTCCAATTTTTCACATTTTATAATATCAGCAAATTTATAAACATACGAAATATCGCGGGATGAATAACGCGCATGTTTTTCGGCGTAGAGTACCTATGTTTGGAAAAGTTTTTGTGTTATTTTCATCCTGACGTTTCTCGGTGTTTTTTTTTTGGTAGCTCTTAGATACGCGAAGAAGCTCGTGTGGATATAAATGTGCAATAGGAATTTTTGAATAAAGACTTTTGTATTCCAACAGTTGCACGTATTACAGGTAAAAATTATTGTCTACAGAAATAATACGTTATTACGTTCTACATGCATGGAAGATTGTGTCGACGTTTGAAGATGGATTGTGACGAAAAAGAGTTCGATAGATGTCGATTGGCAATGCCACGTGTATATGTATACCTTGAATTCAGTGCTTGTGTCATGTCCCTGTCATGCGAGATAGATACTAGCGACTAATGCCGTGTGAATTCGACAGTAATAAGAATCATAGTGCCTCCCTGGAAAGATATCTCGGGCGAGTTTCTACTGCGAGCGAGAGAACGCGTCTAGTTCAAGCCACAACAAATCATGACTGAGATCGGTATAGATAGTCTGCGAAATCTCATCACCCACTTTGCAAAGAACACATACAGAACCAAGGATGTGGACGTCACGGTAGTTGTTTCATGTTTTTTTTTGTGCATTTTTCTCTTGTATTTGCATGTATTTTACAATTAAGCACGCCGATATTAAAAACTCTTGTGAACTCAGCGGACCACTTATCTTCTTACAGAATCAGGAAATCATGCAGAGGTGCATGCTGCTTGCGGCCTTCGACTATGATTACTCTACGATAGACAACACCAGCGGTGACCTTTGTGCGCATTATCCCAGCTACCTTATAATATTGGAACATGACAAGTTTCGCAATTCAAAGACCCGCGACATGTCAGTGCCACTGCCATGTGCGGTGGAAAATACGTACGAGAGTATATATTTTAAGAATAAGCTTAACAAGCTGATGACACATTCAAGATTTGCCAGATGCCGCTCGAGATTTCCGGTGCCAGTGATACTGTACAAGGGTAGGCACGTATGCAGATCCTCAACATTGTCCAGCAGCCCAGAAATGTTCGGTAGAGCCGGATTAGATTTCTTGCTGTCTAGTGTAGCTAGCGGCAGCGGCAGCGCCAGCGGTACCAATTCAGCACAGCCAGTCACACAGATGGAAGAGAATTTACCCAGGGAAGAAACGAAGCTCACTGACTTGAAAAATAAAGTTAGATATTATGATATAGAACTCCTCAAGACTCTTAATGTAGGAACCATCGTAGACTTCATGGTCGAGAAGAAGAAAGTTAAATATGGGATGACGTAAGAATGACACTAAGTGTCTCTCTTGTATTTGTACATGTCGTAAAGTGAATACTTGTAGAGGGCTAGGCATTATCTAAATTGTTATAACTGTCGTTTAGCAATTGGAAGAACCCAATAGTGTAATTGTTAAAAGAGATGTAAAAAAAGTTGTTTTTTTTGTATGCAACGAGAATAGAAGAAAAACAAGATGGCTCTATAGTAAAACTATTTATTTCAATAACTGATTGAATTATCGAGTGAAAATTATAGCTTGCAATAATAATGTTTAGGATGAAGCACGTATAGCGCTTCTCCAGAAGAAAAAAAAACTGCATAGACAATAGCTATTCGAGTAAAAAGGTGTACATCTTCACGAGCACAGAGTAAATTTCCATAATAATAGTTCTTAGTATGAGCAATCTGTTTTATTCTATGAATCCACTTCTAGAGGCCCTTAAACAGAGCTCTTTTGTTCGGTACTCAGCGTAACGTCGTCGGAGAAGGTAGACCAAGAGAGGCGGTACAGCAACTTTAACCTCATTTCACTGCCGTATCCTGGATGTGAATTCTTCAAGGAGTTTAGAGACCGAGATTACCGATCGAAGGATCTGGTGTTTAACTGGTGCCAGAATTACATAGACGCGCCAATATGCGTACCTGAAGACACAATCTCCAGTCAATTACGAGTCAACTGGGATCAGTATACAGAATGGAATCTAGTCAAATTAACGCAGAACTATTTAAAATTAATACTGAGATATCTGAACGATAGTAACAACGGATTACTGATTCACTGTATCTCAGGTACGGGAACATATTGTTCTGTTAGAATTCCCAAAATATATAAATATTTTAGAATGTGAGTTAATGTGTGTTATTTGTGCAGGTTGGGACCGTACGCCGCTATTTATTTCATTACTGAGAATTAGCCTCTGGGCCGACGGGGCTATTCATACGACATTGGATTCGTACCAGCTACTGTATTATACCATCGCCTACGATTGGATGCTCTTCGGGCATGACTTAGCGGATCGACTCAACAAAGGAGAGGAAATACTTTTCTTTTGTTTTGATTTCTTAAAATACATTGAGAGCGAACAGTTCAGCATACACAAACATTACGAGAGAACGTCGAGGCATAGCGAATCGGAAACATTCTTTATTGACAGCGATTCCTTCGAAATCATTACGAATTCCAGTTTCAGTCCAAAGAACAGTTCGTCCAGTTCTATTGAACAGAATAGCGTGGATGGTGATTCATCGCCAGCTGTGTTTATCGATTCCGTGGACAATCAAGATGACTCACGAAACAATGTGTATGATTATTTTAATTATTTCTTTAACTATTGCGGCATTTTCATATTAATATGCTCTGCTGTATATCCGATCAGACCCAGATTTCTAACATATTTTTGTATATGTTACAGAAATGTTGCACACGGAACATTTAATATATCTCCAAACAAGGACGGTGGCGCCGTACAGGAATCGCGCCCATCGTTATCCACAAATCGTACATCACCGATTGGTGTTCCTATACCGCGTAATCCGCATGTTCGTCAGCGAAACGATTCGACGTCTTCAGGCGATTCGTGGCAACTGGTAACAGGGACTGGCAGTCTGTGTGGTTCAACGACCGCTAATGCTCTACACCTAGACAATGTATTGGCGCCCGATTCAGATTGCAAGCCATCATGTGCCACTTGCCGTAGAACTCGACGAATGTCGCAGGAACGCAGCGCAAACGTAAATGACGATGAGACTTGTGTATCACATACACAGTGAGTTTTCAGCTTCTAAATTTCTCGAATCGTGTATTGTTTTTCTTGTAAAAGTTGCGCATCTTATATTAAATATTTTAATTCTAGACGTAGAGAACGGTTGCACTGTCTTCGAAACATATTTTATAAGGCTTATGGACCTCATGGATTTCGATTGAAGGACGAATCAAGTGGTATAAGCCAATATATCGGAAATATTGTCGGGATGACTTCCATTCAACGCACATCCTAGTGACAAATTTTATTGAGCGGCTTTCCAAGAGCATGAATTTATACTGAATTTTTTCTATTCTAAGATCATCCAAGCATTTTTTGTATTCCAATTAGTCCTCATTTTCTCTAATCGCATGTACAGGATAAAAATATTATGCATCTTATCTTTAATTTGTTGATTCATATCTAATCGTGATCAAACACCACTGTTAGATGTCAGTAAGCTAAGCAAGAAAATCGTAACTTAAAAAATGTTTGGCTTATAGCAGAAAAACATAAAACAAAGAATCTTAGAATAGCAAAAAAATCAATTGTATTGTTAATAATACTTTTTTGTCCTATTGATGATTTTATAAAATGAGTTTATAAAATGAAAATGAGAAGAGATTGTACATAACTGTTTTTCTCAAAATTGGATTGTTATACATATAAGATGTAGCACGACTTGTGCAGAAATAATTGAATAAAACTTGATATTTTTGTATATATCTACATAGGTAAATATATTATTAGAGTTATCTCTTCCCATAAAAAATTAGTACTAATTCTTACTATAATCAATCATGAATATCTTCGTAAACTTACAGAGAGGATTTAAATTTGTTTGATAAAAAAGTTTCGAAAACCCCAGATTTTGAGACAATAAAAAAAAAACGAATAAAAAAATACTTAATAATTAAGATTCTTTTTATTTTAAAGATATCGTATTTGTCTTGAAAATATATTAATTATTTGTAAAACATCATATAAGTACATATAAATATATACAAGTCTCCGCGTTATGTATGTGTTCAAGGAATATAATCTATTATATCACAGAAAATTACAGATTCATCACATGGACGATTCTCGATGGTGGTACGTACTCCCTACAGAATGGACAATATGGTTTGACACGTAACCACTCGCTAAGACAGTTCCAGCAAAACAGATGACCGCACAGCGTCGCGGTCGTTGCTGTTGCCTCGAGGCACAATTGACAATTGTGACCGCTGCATTTAACACTTGGTATATTTACAGCAGCGGTATCTTGCACTGCGCCACTCTGCCAAATTCTCAACAGACACTGGATTAGAGTAGCGACACCTAATAATCTCAATCCCCAGCTGACAGTGTCCATCGGTCGGGGGCCATATACCTTTAAATCATTGTAAATATATAATAAGATTGCAATATAAATTTGTCACCAAACATTTTAGAGCTTTTTGAAAACTCACCTTTGTATAATCTAATCCGGCAACTCTCTTACCCAGGCTGTAATATCTACCATAAATGTAAAATAACCCTTTGTGGAATAACACAACTATGGGTATCATCGTGCGCAGCTTGGACAGTAAGGTATTTAGAAACGTTGTTGCCGCTGGCGTCAACTCGCTACGGGGATGATTCACGTACGCTTGCAACTGTCGCAGTAATTTGAGCAACATTCTCTCGCCGAGGCATTCTAAAATTGCAGCCAGTACTCTCACCTAGGAGAAAAAAAAACAAGTCAGATTTTAATTGAGTTATCGGAAAGGCTCGCCCCTAATCTCTCTCTCTCTCTCTCTCTCGAGTCGAGAACGTACAGTTAACGTCGGGACTCTGCGTTGCTCCAAATTGGCCTGCACTATGCCGGTGTACTCCTCGCCCAGCGTCTGATTGCCCATGCCCGACGTGAAGGCGAAATACAGCAATTTGTACGGAACGTCCGACCGGATCAGCTGAGCCAACGAAGTTCTGTGCACTCCGAGATTCGCCGATACCTCGGACAGCTTGTCCCGCAGGTATTTCACGAAGTCGTCATCTCGTTGATGCGATCGCAATATTTCCGCCTGACTCGCACACTTGAGCTTGCGCCTGGGCCAGTTTCCGTCAGTCCCCATTTTTCGGCGTTTCGTTTAGTTTTTGTCGTAGTGGAGTACGAGACGCGCGATATCAAACGGCGAAGTCACGGCGCGCGTGAAAACTCTAGAAAACATCTGCAGTTTCGTTCAAGGTTCCAAAACATTCCCCCCGTCATTCCGATTTAAAGTATTCTATATCTCTATAGAAGGTAACGTTAGGAGGCAGCACCGCGGATCCGCGACCACCAGAGTCCTTCCACCATGGTCCAGACTCCAGAGTGTTGTTTGTTGTTGGACAGCTTGATCGAAACGGACATCTTCTGTTCCATTTGCATCATTTTTTGAAAAAGGTGACGAAATCCGCCGGGTGTTTTACTATCGTGCATTGTAGATCGTTATACGTTTTAGAAGCACCTCGATTTTGGATTTTTAACTTCCGTTACGTTTTGGAAGCACCTCGATTTTTTATTTAATTTTCGATGACACACCTATGGGCTTGCCTTAAAGTTCCGAGTGTGGACACAGGCTGTATAGCTCCTAGTAGGAAGAAGAAGTAGTTAGAAGAAAAAGACTGTGCGGCTACCGCGACTTTTAATTCGTATCGTCTTGCGATCGGAGCAGTTGTTAAGAATCGGAAGAAAATGAAGGTGCATAAAGTAGAATCGGAGTAAATGTCGGAGCACGCGAATTTCCGGAGTGTCCAGTGTTGAATTCGAAACGTCGAGCTCACCCGATTAAAAGCGTATATATACGTAATATCCATAGATCGGAACCGGTCACGTGCGCAAAAGCGTCGCACAGTTTTTATGTACGGCAAGTCAGTCAAGCAATTAATCGATTGAATGTTCTCGTTTCAAATAAATATTTTGTATGTCGGAAATTAAGTTGTGTGATTCTCACATGCTATCCGCTCAATCATCCTGCCAAGGACGTTTATCGAGATTGATGAAGATCTGGCTCAACGGGTGGCACTCGATTGACCACGTTACGATTGGACACAAACCAATCACAGCGCTTGAAACTAGAAAGCCTCGGTCGCTGTGTCCAATCGTAACGTGTTCAACACAACTTAATTTCCTGCATGGGTCAACATAGAGATTTATTCTAAATTAAAAAGAAATTATATTACAGCATTGGATTCTGGCCTGGCCGTCTTAACTCTCAGCGGAAAGCAGGCGCTATATAAAAAGGAAGAACAAAAAAAAAGAATATCGCTCGAAGGAGTCGATCGTATAGTTGTGCATCCGCGCCTATGCGCGATTATGGCTTTTGCGATGTTCAATGCGTTCGGCATCAGTAAGAGTAAGTACGTTGACGTCAGCAGAATTTTTCAGTCACGTATAACCTTATCGCGATGGATTGACAGTAGACTCGAAGACGACAACCGTACTGTTGATTTTTGTTTGATATGGTGCATTATTTTATTCCTCGATTCCTTGCATGCACCAATCAAAATCTTAGAATCAGTCACGTGATTGGTGTCAAGCTGTTTTCTTCTATTTTATTCTTATATTTATATTTCGTATGACTGATCAATTCGTTAAATGATTACAATTAGTAATTAGTAGTTATCAATCAATCACATATAGACGTCACTATGCAAGCATGCAACTGAGTCGCGATAGGTACTGCTATCTTCGTGTGATGGCTAAATACAGCGCTTTAACAGCAAACCAAGCTAAAGTTCCTTGCATCGGTCAGAATCATTCGACTATAATACAACTGGAATGTGTACTGGCAGCCAGAATGTATTCCCGAAAGAGAGAGAGAACAAATCTAGATGGGTTAGAAAGAGAGAGGTGATTAGTTAGAAAAAGAGAGGTGGTCTCGGCCATGAACGGCCGGTTAGAAATACATTATGATTAGAAAGAGAGAGGTGACCCTTTATCATGCTATCTCAGAATCGCTTTCTGCCTGGGTGAATAATGGCAGTGCACATTCTAGTTGTATTATAGTTCAGTACAGGGATTCTCAAACAATTAACGATAATTGTCGATATCATTGCACAGCTTTTCACGCTAACACGATTGCCCTTTGCCCCCGCGATATATAAATATCTTCTAAAGCTGCGTTCGCTTTGGCGCTTACATCATTTCGTCCTTGTTGTTTATCAAATGTTAAACAAGGTCAAATAATGATGCTTATAAGCGCTGTAAACGCCAAACCGAACGCAGCCAAAGTGCTCTGCACTTTCTGCACTTATCCTGCACTTAATTGTTCTTTTTATCTCGGTTTTTTTTCTCCTTGTTATATTTTATATTTAAAAATTAAAAGTTTGTAAAAATTTTTAGGTCAGAAAATGAATTTTTGTTTTTATCAGTAGAAACGTATTTTTATTTGAATTAAAAAACAAAAGAAAAAATAGATATTGTAGCAAAAAAAAAGAAAAACGTATTTTTGCAGAAACAAAGTTAAAATTTCGTTATCGATAGCAATTAATACGTGTGGCTGCATATATGCATAAGTGATCCCTTGCATGCTCTAGTTTAATTT